ACAGAGGAGATAACCAGATCTGAGACCTCATCGGTGATGGTGGAGAGGATCCAACCCTGGAGGAGAGCGTCGAGTTGGGAGAGACTGAGTTGAACGGGGACATGAAGTTTCACGTTTGAGATTGTTGTGAAAGCAAGATGAGGAGGTTTGGAGGAGTTATTTTGGGAAGTGATCTCGCTGTTTTTGGCCATGGTGAGGGGAAGAAGAGGACCGCCGAGGGGGAGAGGGTGTCGCCGGTGAGGAGAGATGCCGTAGGGAGAGTTGGCGCTGACGGCGAGAGAGAAGGCCGAACGAGAGAGAGAGAGGGAGTTTAGGGTTTTTGATTTTTAGGCTCTGATACCATGTAGAAAGGTTAATTTCATTAATTGAATATGTGGGAGTACATGTCTATATATACACAAGGGTTCCTAATCCTATACAAGGTAGGAGTCAATAATAGGAAACAATATATTCCTAATCCTATACAAGGTAGGAGACAATAATAGGAAACAATATATTTACATTAAATATAGAATATATTTAACACATATGATGCTTGTGGTTTATAAATGCTTGTGGTTTATGAAGTAAAGCATTTTTTTCAAATCTATGATGACCCAATTATTGTGTGTGTTTGGTCCTTTTTTGGCAAACGGGTCAACGAACTGGGAGTCAGAACCAAGCCGACAAGTTCGATCCGGGTTAGGGGCGGGTCCTCTTTTCAAATATTTATAACGGGACGGGTCGGTCCGATCCTTATAGGTTTTAGGGTCGGTCCGGTTCTCCATTTTGAAATTGTCCAAGACTCGGACCGGACCGCTTTTTAATACTCCGTATTATTATTAGTAATTACACTGGGAACAACTCCCTTACAAGTTACGCCCTTACCCTTCTTTGCCATTGTTTTGTCTTTATTTAGGCCTCTTTTTTGTGTTAGATAACTTAAAATTCACAATGGAAGTAGTATATTGCTGTGGACTAATGGTGAATGACCATGTATGTATTATTAATTTATTATCACTTTATTTTTTTAATATTAGTATCATGATAGGTTCGGACCCGTTGACCCATGGAATTGACCTGTTTAAAACAAGACTCGTTCCGACCCGAACCATTTTAATAAAAATACGCCGATTCCGGTTTATACAAATCTTGGCTCGGATTGCTTGTGCTTGTGCCCACCCCTAAGCCAATGCATTTTCAAATTTAAATCAATCTGATGGATATCGGGTCTGATGGACCCGACTCCAAGCCCAATAAAGGCCCATAATAGCGCAAGATGGATAAGGCCAGGTGAGGGCAACGGGCCGAGCCGCTACTACACGCTTATCAAGGTGACCCGGTCCAAGAAAGGAAAAGAGGGGATCACAACCCCATGATCTCCATAATTTCTCCCATTATGTATAATTTTAATTACAATATTAGAAATACTATAAAAGGTGGAGAACCCGCCATTGTAAAAGAGAGAGGTAATTGAATGCTCAACTAAAGAATATTATTGTGAGATTATATCTTTCTGATCCATATTACGTTCTTGGTCCGCCATCTGATCGGGTTAATCCCATCAGAATCAATGTGGATTCAACATTTCAAAATGCAAAACAGATCTTGAATAACCAAAGAGCCCTACCTTTTACTTTAATTAATTAATTAACAGTCCAACCCAATCAACCTAGAGAATCATCATCATCATCATCCCCTTCCCTTTCCCCTCTAAACCCCTTCCGGTTTCATGTCATCCAATGCCCCCTGCAATTCTCGCCCCTTCTCGTGGCTCGTCAAATCCTGTATCCCCACCGCCCACAACCACCGCCAACCCACCGCTCCCCATTCCTCTTCCGCCGCCCCTCTCCGCCGCCAAACCTCCATTTCTTCTCTTCCCGACGACCTCCTCTTGGAATGCCTCTCCAGGGTTGCACAGTGCTCTATCTCCTCCCTCCCGTTGGTTTGCCGCCGCTGGTCGGACCTCCTCGATTCTCCCGCCTTCCACTCCCTTCGCCGCCGCCGCAATCTACTCCGCCTCAATCTCTTTGCCATTTCAATCTCCGACCATTCGCTCTTCGCAGCTAGTCTGTGTTTGGGATTTGAATCGGCGTGGAGAATCTCTTCTGTGCTTGCGGATGACGTTTTTAATCGAGGGCCGCCGTTTATTTCTCTCTTCTCCCATTCCCGTTCCGTCGTTATTGGTCGGAGGATTTACGTTATTGGCCGGACGGCGATGATTCGCTGCGACGCATGGACTGCAACGGTGGTCTTGTTACCGGGGCCGGTGGCTTCGAGGAAGAAGTTTGCCGCGGCTGTCGTAGCGGGGAAGATTTATGTCGCCGGCGGAAGTGGGCGGACGGCGGTGGTTGAGGAGTACGACCCTGATGCTGAATCGTGGCGCGCGGTGTCTACGGCGTCCAGGAGGCGGTATGGATGTGTGGGGGCGGCGGTGGACGGGGTATTCTATGTCATCGGAGGTCTGAAGATCGGGTCGTCGGGAAATGAGGGAGTGTCACGCGCCGCCGGACCGGATGCGGCGCTTGTTTACGCCGGCTCGATGGATTTGTATGACGTGGCAGCGGGACAGTGGCTGAAAAGCCGGACCGTCCCCGTGGGCGGATGCGTGGTGGCGGCCTGCGCCGAAGGCGGTTTCGTGTACATCCTCTCAAGCCATGCCGTGGAACTCTCGTTCTGGGAATTCAACGGTGCGCTTAAATCCAGCGGATTCGCGGAGTGGCGCAGGTTAAAGTCGCCGCCGGTGCAGGTTAGACTCGACAGCGCCGTCAGATTCAGCTGCGTCGGGGCGGGAGGAAGGGTCGTGCTGGTCCAAGTAACAGGCCGCACACAAGACATGGCACGGCGGAGCGGCCGAGGGGAGAGGGTTTTCAGGGGAGGAACGATGATGGTGTACGATTGCGCCGCCGGGGAATGGAGTAGGGGGGCGGATTTGCCGGAGTTCATTGGAAGTGCCGCCTGTGTAACGGTTGAGTGCTAATGTGCGCATTTCTTGGGTGGTGTGTCATCCGCTCATTTTTCCTGGTTTGAGTCAAAGTCTTCGATTTTATTGTCGGCACAAATGAGTCTTTCTTTCCATTGTGCTTTGAATATCACTAGACTCGTACTGTGCGATGCACGAACTATTAATTTACATATAATTAGTGAATGTTTAGAATAATGGAAAATGTTACAAAATCTGAAAGAGTACATAATTTAGTATAATTCTCCAAAAAGTGAATTTTATACAGTAATGACCAAAGTCGATATGAAGTGTTAAAAGTTTTGGAACACTTCTTTATAAACTACATTTGTAGAGAATGATACATTATTAATATTTATCGTTCTAAATTTAAGATATTTTACCCTTAAAAGTTTATTATTATAAGAAAACACACAATTTATTTTGGGAGGAACAAATAACAAAAGAAGTGATTTAAAATGGGACAAAGGGAGTATGATGATTTACTTAAAAAATTAACGATACAAAAAATACGTTGTCCATTTCTTGCAAGCATAGAGAATGATAAATTGTTAATATTTATCTTTCCAAATTTGAAATTTCATAACAAAAAATTAACATTCATAATAATCATAATAGGCATACAAATAGTTAAATTCTCAAAATTCATCAAAAGAGCATGCCGGATATATTACATATAGAATACTTTCCAACATTTTTAGTACCTTACAAAAAAAAGCTAACATTCACGCTTAAAAGCATCATAGTGAAATTTTCAATTAAGAATATAATGATCGTTAAAATATTTTTTGTTTGGAATTTTAAGCCGTTCAGATCGTCGCGGTGCAAGTGGTGTCACTATTGCACAATTATTACAAACAAAAAATAATCATCATTTCACGTCACCAATTTGTAAGCACGATAGATGAGCGCGTACGCTAAAACATTTTCAATACTTTTCCATAAAAATAGAGTCTCGATTACTTTTGCACTTGTAATATGAACTCACAAATGTTTCAGTTCATGCTTTAATTGTGCAATAAATACAGAAACTTATAATTTATAAAAATATACTCCTTCCATCCCTGAAAACCTTTCTCCGTTTTTTTTCATCCGTCCCAAAAAACACTTCTCATTTCTATTAAAAAGTCATTTTTACCCCTTACTTTTTCATATCCTAACTATCACATCATACCTTTTTACTAATAATTTATCCATCAAATCATACTTTTACCCATCACATCAAAGGACATTCTTGGAAATTCAATACCAAAATACACTCTCCTTAAATCCCTCTACAAAATCAAAACTCTCATGTTTTCCAGGACGGAGAGAGTATTATTTTTATTAGAATTTTATTAAAAAAGTTTTTAAACATGTTAAATAAAATAACAAAAAATGGTCCGATTTTATGTGTTTGTCTATATATATACACACACACACACACACGGATGTATGTGTATGTATGTGTATATATATGTATTTATATGTGTGTGTGTCTATATATATATATATATATATATATATATATATATATATATATATATATATATATATATATATATATATATATATATATATATATATATCATAATTTTTTGTTCAAAGATCCGATTATATTATTTTTTTGAAAATTAATAATCAAAGATCCGTTACACACACACAGATATATATACATACATATATATATATATATATTTTATATTTTGATAAAACAGATGTAAAAAAATTATTTCGGAATAAAAAATAGAATAAAAAGCCCACATAAGTATATAGTGGAAATGTGTGGTGGGAGTGTTTCTTGAATTTTCTTCCTTGTGCTCATCGATTTGTCTCTGGGGTTTATTTAATTTCCACTTCTTTTCTTTTTTTTTCGTTTTAATTTACACAATTTAATTTAATTTAATATTACAAAGCCCTGGTGACCCAACTACCTATCATGTTCATCACACTGCACACACTTTCACATTCATTTCCCATTTCAAATTCAATTGTTCCCTTCGGTGTACTACTTTATCAAGTTGTTCATTCCTCCAAAATTAAAAAAATAACTTTTAATGTTATATATTTGAGGAGAATAATTAAAGGAGCATACATACATACATACATACATACATATATATATATATATATATATATATATATATATATATATATATATATATATATATATATATATATATATATATATATATATATATATATATGGGCCGGTTTCTGTGAGAATGCACCTTGTAGAGAGAAATGAGAATAAAATCTAGCCGTTGGATCTGATGCATCTTGCGCTCAGATTTTGAGATAGTGCATTTTCAAAGGATTTTGATGCATTTCGACGTGATGCATTTTCAAACCATTTTGGTGCATCTAAATTTGATGCAATCCTGACCCTTAGATCTCACAATCTAAAACACCAGATTCATTCTCATTTCTGTCCTAAGATTGCTTTCTCACCAGAACCAAAATCTAGATATATATATATATATATATATATATATATATATATATATATATATATATTTTGATATTAAAATAAATTTTGCAGAAAATGAAATTGCAGTCCAAAGAACCCATCTTACATTAATCAATCTAAGAGGAAACCTGCGTTTGGAACTGAAATTTTCATTGTTCCACCCATTAAGAGGAGACCACATGCTTAAGGAAGAATATTGAGACATTTGATGATTTTATAGCCTACTCCATATTTGAGAAGTTTTTTTAGGAATGAAGTTTATTATGCTGAGTATATATAGTACATGCTTCATGATCTCTTCAACCATTCATTAAATGGTTAGATATTAAAAATCTTTATAATTGATGGATTTGACATAAAGTTACTTTTTTCAAATCTATTTTATGGAGCCACTCAATTTTCTCTTTCCTCAATCTAACTCTATGGAACCACTAAAATTGAATTGACATAAAGTAATTTTATGATGCCACGTACCACTTTAATATACTTTACGGAGCCACGCAACACTTTAATTTAGTTTATGGAGGAATGCACCACTTTAATTATTTCAAAAAGACTGATATGACAACTCATTAATTGCAGCCTCAAAACCCGTCCCAATGGCAGCCTCAAAACCCGACCCACTAGCCCAATTGTGACCCAGCCCGAATCGGCCCAATATAGCCCAATGAAATAGGCGGGAACACTGTTCAAAAGTGCATCCTAGCATTGTATATAGTAAGATTTTCTGCGTACCATTTTCACTGCAATATCACGGAAGTGATGCACAAAAAGATTTGTTTTAATCCGTGAGATTATAATTTATAAGTTCAAGCTCTTTGATACTCCCTTCCTCTGTTCTAAAATTAATTTCCTAGTTTGACTTTTGTAGTCAAATTTTTTAAACTTTGGTCATATATAACGGAAAAATACATTGAATTTTTATATAAATTTATTAGGAATAGATTCATTTTGAAACATAGTTTTAAAATATAGTATAATTTTTATAAAATATATTTATATAAAAATTGAGATATTGTTGGTCAAAGTGTCGCATTGGAGACTGTGAAAAATCAAATGGGAAGTTAATTTTAGGACGGAGGGACTATAAGAAATCAATTATTTGCATCCTACCTAAAACATTCTCACATTTTGATTTTTTAGTCAAACTGTGACACTCTTTAATTAGGAACTGCTACTCTCATCCATCGAAAAAGATTTAGTTTAAATTTTTAAGTTTATTTTTTATATTTATGTCAATCTTTAAAATAAAATAAATTGGAGTGATTAAACATTGTGTCAACTCAACTTCTTTAAGCTAGTGATATTCAAGGGAGAAATTCCCTCACTTGAAAAATTTGGATGAAGTATTTCCTAAGAAAGACAATTGCATGTTGTACTTGCGATTTTTTTTGTTCAGAATTTTCGCATGTAGTACATGCAAAAACATCAACATCATCTGCTACCCACTAGTTGCGTACAAATTTTTTAAAAAAATTATTCTGCATGTACTACATGCAAAAATATGAGACCCTCACTTTTTTATTAAATAATTTCTCCCCGAAATGCATATATGGTTCTTAAAGAATACTCCCTCCGTTCAAAATTAAAGTTCTCACTTTCTTTTTCGGTCCGTCCACAAATAATGTTCTCATTTCCTTTTTTAGTAAGTTTTACAGGGTTAAAAGACAAAACTACCCTCCTTCATTACATTTCTTTTTCTTTTTCCTTTTTTCTACCTTCCCGCCTCGTCAGCCACCCTCCCTACTCTTCCTCCTCTTTCCTTCTTTTTCTTTCTTTTCTTCCTCTCAATTCCGTCTTCTTGTTTTCTTCTTCTTCTTCTTCTTTTCTTGTTTTCTTCTTCTTCTTCTTCTTCTTATTTCTTCTTCATTTTTTTCTTGTTTTTCTTCTTTCTTCTTTCATCAATTAAAAGAAGAAATTTTTTTCAGATCTGGTTGCATCTTCGTCGGATCTAGATTTGGAGAAACAATTTTTTTTATTTTTTTCCAGATCTATGGTGGGATGTTGATTTTCTTCCCTAACGAGAAGTCTAAAAATAGATCTTTGAAGGCGGGGGCTTGTGACGGCGAGAGAAGCAAGTTGTGACGGCGAGAGGGATGCTAGGGGCTGCGACGGCTGGGCGCTGCGATGCCCGGAGCTTTCGACGGCGGGGATGCGAAAGCATCATCGACAGCGGTGCAGAAGCGGCGGAGGCAGTGGTGCAGAAGCGGCGGCGGCAGTGCAGAAGCGGCGGCAACGGCGATGCAGAAGTGTCAGCGTCAGTGGTGTACAGGGGTGGACGGCTCCAATGGGGTGTACATGGGTTGCAAAGATGAGGGGCATAAAGGGAAAGTCAACACAATTTTCATTCCAACTAAATTTGCGCACCGAGTCAAAGTGGGAACTTTAAATGTGGACGGAGGGAGTATAAAAATAATATTATTTATTTATATATATATAATTTTTTTACATATCATTAAATATGTATTATTGAAATTTTTGAGTATCAACATCAATAATATTTTTAAGAAGCAAAGATGATTAAATATTACTATTTATAATGAATCCGTTTTAAAAAAGTACACAACATGAAAAGCACATAGGAAAAAAGTACAATATAAGAAACACATACTAAAAAAAGTACATTTTAAAAATAATTAAAGCATAATTATTAATTTGTCCTATGATCCATCTCTCCATGATAACGATTTTGCTAACGACGTTCTCGACGGGGAGTCTCTTCTAAGGGACGTATCGGTGGCAACACTTTCCAATCACCAATATT